CGTCAAAATAAGACGCAGAGGGAACTTTGGAAAAGCGTCAATATGTGACGAGTCTGGAGTGAGAATGTGTAGTATTATTTGACAGGCGTTTTGCAATTTAAGTGCAAGTGTATTTAATTTAGTTATGTTATAATAGTTTAGTTATGATGTAAATACAATAAAAATTAAACCAATATTTAGATTAGAATAATTATCATTTTGATCCATAAATTAATAATGTCTGACTGGGCCTCGTGCCACTCTATGTACAACAAATTGGGCCCTGAGCTCAAAAAGGTTAAGAACCCCTGCTCTACACACATAAGGACCCTGGTCGGCATCAACAAAGACAGAATGCAGCAGGTTGCCCAAATATCTGCCTGATCAAAATTAATWCTGTGCCTCTATTAATGGAGTTGCTGTGTTCTGCTACATACTAAAAATATAAAATACTGACAGRGGTGTCCTGTTTCCCTGTTGCTGCATTTACTTGTGCTCCACATGAGATGAGGAGCTTTGATAATTAGAAGGAGCTGGGATTAGAGCTTCTGCTCTGTCTGCTGAGGTGGTTCTAATCAGGAGGCCTCCCGGGTGCCTCACTTCGGAGATTTTCTATGTAGGATCCACTGGGAAGAAACCGTGTGGCAAACCCAAAAGGTTATATCCTCTTGAGACTGGGAACAGGTTGGGATCWCCCTGAAGCTGAAAACTGTTCCTGAAGAGAGGCAAGTCTTGGTTTCCCTTTTGGACCTGTTGACCCTGCAACCTGTCTGAGGATCAACATAATGGACGGATAGAGCTAATTATTGTRTGGGGGGCAAATCTTTAATCAAGATGAGAAAACTCTTTGTTTGTATATTGAGATGCTYTTGATGTGGACATTCTCACCACCCAGTGGAGAGGTAGTTATTTTGCTACAACATATGGATACAGAAAAATAAATGGAAAAAATGAATCAATCAAAAATATCAGTTGTAGTGCAGACACCCTCGCAATTATGAAATCTAACTGCTACTAGAAAGGTATTTTTGACTAATTTCATATTTTCATGGATGTTTAATTTGTTGTTTAAATGATGCAAGCAGATCTCCACTAAAGACCTTTGAGCTTTTAAAGATAAAGTTTATCTACCTTTCATATCATTCAGCTACATTCCTGGAAATTATCAGCTGTTGAGTCAGGTTTGTTTACAATATCGACTGAAGGGACATTTTATTGACCCCTGGTGTGAAGATAAAATTTTACCGTGAAAAAACTAATTGTCTGTGTTCTCTGTCTCATTGCTACAATGAGAATCTTCAGCCTCAGTTTTCACAATATGCTCCACAGTGTGTCCGTTATCCTCCTGAAACTGTACCCTCACCATCATTGGCGAGCATTTCTCCACTTTACACCTGACGGTCAAGGTGTTGTTAGATACTTGAAGGCTGCAGGATTTGAGCTGGGGCATCTTGTCCTCAGATGGGTAGCACACCAACTGATCCTTATGAATGGAAACGAGAGTGCGTTGTCTCAGAAAGTCTGGGCTTCCACACGCCATCCTGTCCAGCATGTCTACACCCTGACTGTTCTGCAGCACCCAGTCATGCAGGTACCACAGGTGGCAGTCACATGTCCAGGGGTTTCCATGCAGCCTCACGGTGGGATGGAAGATAAACGAGTCCAGAAGACCCACAGGGAGCATTACTAGCTGGTTGTCAAACAGGTAGAGCCTCTGAAGAAGTACCTGGTCCTCAAACAGTTTGGCCTCCACCTTTGTCAGACTGTTGTTATGAAGCTGGATTTCTACCATGTTTAAAAGGTTTTTAAAGATAGCTTCAGGGAGAGAGGTGAGCTGGTTCCCAGACAGGTCCAGGTTTTCCAGGGCACTAATATTTCTGAAAATGTTTTCTGTGAGGTTGGAAAGCAGGTTATCTGACAAGATCAGGTGAGTCAGTGAGGTTAGACTGCTCAGAGATGACAGCTCAGCCAGTCTGTTGCTTTTTAAATTCAGCTCCTTTAAGTTTGATGGCTCAAATCCAAAGACTTTATCACCGAAGGTTTTCAGGAGATTTCCTCGTAGGTTCAACACAGTTAAATTTGTTAAGCCAAAAAAGACGCCATCATTAAGCTGTTCTAATTTGTTTCCCTCTAAGTGAAGCTCAGTGACATGAGAAACATTATGAAAGGTGTCAGATGTGAGGTTGCTAATGAGGTTGTTGTTCACTTTCAGAATCTCTAACCTCACCAGACCAGAGAAAGTCTCTTTTGTCACCGCGGCAAGTTTATTTTGGGACAGGTCCAGGACACGCAGTTTAGTAAGGTTCAGGAAAAGAAAGGAGGGCAGATCTGATATGAAGTTGTTCTTCATCTGCAGTGTTTCCAGCTGTTCCAGGGACCCAAACATGCCAGGTAGAATCACCTTCAACCCGTTATAATTGAGCAGCAGCTTCATCAAGTTTTCCTGCTTTGAGAAAGTTCCCATGTATAAATGWTCCAGCCAGGGATTCCCGCTGATCTCCAGCTCCCGCAGCTCAGTCAGATGCTCAAACGCCTTGGCGTGAACACTTCTCAGTGCGTTGTTCAGGAAGATGAGCTTGGTAAGCTGTGGACTCTCGTGCAGTGTGTGTGCGAACAGGTACGCCACCGATGATGTCATGATAATGACTTCTTTGACYTCTCCAGAGATTTCAGGCATATATGACATCTGCTCATTCGCACACAACACCTGGACCTGAGTGAAACACTGACATCTGTATGGACAGACGTTCTGCCAGTCAGAACCTCCTCTGTGGCAGAGAAACAGCATCAGGAGCAGAGCCAGACCCAARGCTTTGTCCATTTTTACTGTCAAAACAGACAAAAAGCTGGTTTCAAATAACAGATCAGATTAAAAACAAACAATTTTCAATTATTTGGATGTATATGTAGGATAACAAATGTTTCTTAGTTTAAAATYAAGAAGTTCAACATACCTGTGTCACAGAGATCCCATCACACTGAAATAAATGTCCACGTGGATCAGCTGACACAACTGCAAACATGCCTGAATTAGGAAAGAGGAAAAACCTTTGGACAGAGATTGACTCCTGCCATGATTTTTTTTTCATTCACAACAAGAAAAAAAGTTTCTCCTGATAGGTGGACTTTTAGCAACACTGAATCTCCTTTTATTGAGAAAATAGTTTTTTTTATAAGTAGTCTTAGTAAAAAGAGTCAAATTAAAGAAAATGTATTCCCATGACTGTGACAAATAGTTAAACTAAAAGCCTCATTGCTTTATATTGTGTTTTTAGACTGAATCATGGGGAAAAGAAAGTTTCCATCAGGACATAATGAACGTGATCTGGTCTTACCAGGTTAATAAAAACACACAAAAGATTTCACTGAGTCATTTTAAAAGTTGAAAATGATATATCTGGACAGCATTATGCTGCAACTTTCATTGATTTAATTCAGTGATTCATTCTATTTTAATCAAAAGGCAACATTTGGATTGCCAATCCAAATCTAGCTTCTCTCCACCGGCTCCCTGTCAAATTTAGAGAATTTAAAATCTTACTTCTGACATACAAAGCTTTTAACAACCAAGCTATATCTTAAGTCAAAGATTTTATTGTTCCATACTTTCCTAACAGAGCACTTTGCTCTCAGACTGCAGGTTWACTTGTGGTTCCTTGAGCTTTCAGCCATCAAGCCCCTCCCCAGCGGAACCAACTTCCAGTTTCTGTCCATGAGTCTGARTCTCTGTRTACTTTTAAGATTAGACTGAAGACCTCTYTTTTTGATAAATCATATAGTTAGACTTAGGTTTCCTGAATTATTATTCATTTCTGCTGCTATAGACTTAGACTGCTGGAGCACAAACTGAGCACATTTCTGCCCTCTGCAGTTGTCTTTAGTCTCTCTTCTCTACATGTTTGTTGTAATTATTTCTATCAATAACATGTTTTTTTCTTTTTGTCTCTTTTCCAGAAGAAGGTGCACCTGGACCAGTTGTTCTGTGTTTGGCTGTTTCTCTTTCCTGTCCTCCAACCCAGCCAGTCAAGTCAGATGGCCGCCTGTCCTGAGCCTTGTTCTGCTGGAGTTTTTCCTCTCCACCGTTTGCTCAGGATGGGAGACTGTGATGAAGTGATTCAACACAATCTGCTGGCTTCTTCTTTAGATTGTTCTCTTTTTTTCATGTACAGTGGCCTGAGACAACGCATGTTGTGACTTGGCGCTGTATAAATAAACTGAATTGAACTTAAATAGAATTCAATCATTTTATAAATAGTTTTCTAACTACCTGATTTTCTAACATACCTGTCTGACAGAATGCAGCAATTGAATAATCTTAGTTTCCAAAGGTGTGCCACAGGGGTTCATCCTTGGTACCACTCTGTTTTCCATTAATGATATTCCTCAAGGTGTTGTACACTTATACACTGATGACATCATTTTGAATGCTCAAAATGAGTTTATTTGAGGCACACCTTAGAAAATTAGTGAAAGAGGGGCTTGTGGAATTATAGTACATTGGAATTCAGATCAAAGCATTGCAGTTCCCCTTTATATAAACCCCAACTGAAGGATTTAAATGTGAAAAAGAAGGATTTAAAAGCAGGATGTCTCCTCTAAAACTTCAACCTCTGCTCCCATCAAACCAAATAATCTCTTTACACTCCTGCTGTGCTTTGCWCAGATCATCAAATTATTTTATAGTCAGTTATCTCACTATGACATATTTTAGGACCTTCATGAACTATTTATTCAGAACTGTAGAATTTTCCACTTACTATGTTTGTCATAGATGTATGATTTTGTGTTTTTTCAGTGTGTGCATCCGGTGTGCTTCTCTTTGACACTTTGTGGCTAATACACTGAAATTTCCCAACTAAGGAACAAATGTTCTATTCTATTCTATTCTATTCTATTCTATTCTATTCTATTCTATTCTATTCTATTCTATTGTAAATGAACAATCAGTATATGGCTGATCAATTTTCCATCTTTAATTGTTTTGTATGTGATGGTGGACTGAGTTTTTACTCAGCTTTTTTATTTTTTTGCTTCTTTTGTTCATCAAATACAAACAGGAGGAAATAATGTATGTTGTGCCATGTTTATCATTTAACRTTACCTTATGTCCTGATTGGTAAAACTTCAGAAAAGAACAAAACAATTCTCTTTTTTCCACCAGTTCATCTGTCTTGTTCATTGAAGTTTTAAAGGAATCTTTGACATTTTTACAGGTTTCCTTTGCTGCAGTTGTCACTCAGCTACACAAGGTGTCGTTCTTACTCTGCTGACTTTACAAAGAGGAGAAGACATTCCTGGATCCTCCCTTTGCTCCAGGTCTTTCCTGAAGAATGGACAGGTATACACCTTTTTCATTGGGAGCAAATTCACAGGGAGAAACCAGCGAGAGGAACACAAGCCCATTTTTGACTTTTAAACTCTCTTTATTTTGAAATCTCTGTGTTCTTTAAGTTTCTGCAGCTGAACGATGGCAAATGGAGGATTACAGCTTCTCGGCTTCACCTTGGCCTTTTTGGGTTTCATTGGGATCATAGCATCTACAGTAATGGTGGAGTGGAAGCAATCTTCCTACGCTGGAGACAACATCATCACAGCCCAGGCCATGTATGAGGGGCTGTGGAAGTCCTGCGTTTATCAGAGCACTGGACAAATTCAGTGTAAAGTCTACGATTCCCTCCTCCAACTACCAGGTATTATTTGATTAATCAGTTTTGATATATTTTGTTAATCAAAACWCAATAAGTCTAATCATCCAGAATGTTTATTAAAATAAATTTGTGGGCTTAGGAAAAATTTAAACCTAAAGAAAATACTGTGAATCTGTATTTTTTGTTGGAGTTGATATGTAAGACAAAACAAAGTGACATCAAGCTTCTTCCCTCCAAACCCTTAATAATAACCCCCTTTTCTTCMGAGAAGACCTCCGACAAGCCGAGACACGTCTGTCAAATTCCAGTAATTGTCTCTCCCCAGATGTGGGACAGAAATCACAGGAGATTGTGTCTTCAACACATTTCTTATACTAAAGATCTGTCAAATATAAAAGTTATTTATCTTTAAAATAATAAAAGACTGACAGCAGAGCCATCTAAGTCTTATTATAGGGATTTAATTGCATTAATTCCTGCCTGTTTTGTTTGAAGAGAAGTTTTTATTTTAGGTGGAAATAAAAGAAAATCTGTTACAATTAAGATTTGTGAGCCTGTAAGAAGCAAACCTCTGTGAGGTTGTTTCTAAACATTTAACTCCTGAAAGCTGAAGTTAGAATAAACTGAATGTTTCTGTAATCTGAAATGTTTTCAGCAATCATTCAGGGAGCGCGAGGCCTGATGTTGTCGGCCGTTTTGCTGGCGTTTATTTCCATTCTGGTGACATCTGTGGGATTGAAGTGCACCACCTGTTTGTCAGATCAACCGGAGCAGAAGGCCAAAGTGGCTCTGGCTGGAGGGGTTGTCTTCATTATTGCTGGTGAGGCTGCAGAAACAAACGAGAAAACACAATTAACAAAGTTACATTTGATAAGGTTTAAACCTGTTTAATATACAATAATAATTGAAGTTCCTTTGGTCTGTTTGTTTTTGTAGGCCTGCTTGCTCTGGCTGGAACATCCTGGTACGGACGGAAAATAGCTCAAGACTTTTACGACCCCTTCACTCCCACCAACTCTAGGTAGGCTGAGTGAGTGAGTGATTGAGTGAGTGATTGAGTGAGTGAGTGAATGAGTGAGTAACCGACAAACCTCCCAAATTTCTACCTTTCATTTTTGGTCTGTATATTAGTTTAAACAGTAAATTATTTGTTTTTTATTTAAACATTTAGTTCACCAGACAAAACTTTAATAACAAATTCTTATTTACAATATATTTACAATATTAACCTGAAAGTACTAAAACACTTAAAAGGGGAAGATGAGGAAATGGCAACCATATTCCAAAGTATTTGTACTCTGTCATCTACTATAAGGACAGTTATTTATTGCGTTTTTTTACAGTTAAATCATAGGATCTTTTTATTTTTAGCATTCAAGAATACAGGGGTTGGACAATGAAACTGAAACACCTGTCATTTTAGTATGGGAGGTTTCATGGCTAAATGGGACCAGCCTGGTGGTCAATCTTTGTTAATTGCACATTGCACCAGTAAGAGCAGAGTGTGGAAGTTCAATTAGCAGGGTAAGCAAAGTTTTGCTCAAAATATTGCAATGCACAAAACATTATGAGTGACATACCAGAGTTCAAAAGAGGACAAATTGCTGGCGCATCTGTGACCAAGACAGCAAGTCTTTGTGATGTGTCAAGAGCCACAGTATCCAGGGTAATGTCAGCATACCACCAAGAAGGACGAACCACATCCAACAGGATTAACTGTGGATGCAAGAGGAAGCTGTCTGAAAGGGATGTTATGTTGAAAACAGGCATTTCAGTTTTTTGTCTAACCCCTGAAATTCTAAGCTAAGTTTTTAATCATGTTTTGAATATCTATTTTAGAGACTGAATGACTGTTTCAGAGGATGAGCCAAAAGCATTCACAAGTTTTTTTGTTGAACATATTTAAAA